AAGGTTCTAGGTGAATCATATCCTCTCTTGGCCCTCATCTATACAGCGGGGATTATGAGAAGTCCTGGTGTGGCACTGTAGGATAAGCACTCAATCTCAAGGTCGGTTTGAACTCCAAAGTCGGTGGTTCAAACCCACCAGGTACTCCTTGGAAACCCTATACAGGCTCGATATGAGTTGAAACTAACTCGATGGCACAAAGCAACAACGACAAACCTGTGCACTCAGAGTGTGGCCAGGAGGAGTTACAAAGACAGAGAAACCCCCTTTGTAAGCAGTGAAAACCCTCTAGCTTTTATTTGTCCTGCTTACATTTTAGAAAGGTACTGTGGGCAGGAAGGGGAATGGTGACTAAGTGCTTGCCAAAGGTCACTAACGAAGTGAAGGTGAAGGAGCTAGAACTGATGCCTGAGTCCCAACTGTCAGCCTTGGACACTAGATTTCTCGGTCTCTCTGGGAAGAGGGATTTCTGACTCTTCCAGAAGTTTTAATATGCATTTGGGGATTGCCGAGGGCACAGTTCTGAAATACAGAGCCAAGCACTCAAATGCACTTTTGACACTTTTGCTGTCATTATAAGTGTATTTTATCTTTAAAAATTGTATTGTTGTTGTTGTTGTTAAGTGCCGTCGAGTCGGTTCCGACCCATAGCGACCCTGTACAGGGTTTCCGAGGGTGTAAATCTTTACGGGAGTAGAAAGCCTCATCTTTCTCCCGCGGAGCGGCTGGTAGTTTCGAATCGCTGACCTTAAGGTTCGCAGCCCGATTCGTAACCACTATGCTACCAGAGCTCCTTAAAAAAAAATTGTAAAATAGTTTTGTTTTTTTTTTTGAAGTTATTTACCCTGGAGTAAAGCATTTTAAAAAATATGTAAAAAGAAGTATTTTTATTTGCTTACTGAACTTTTTCTTGTGAATTGGGTGAAGGTTCACAGTGCAGCTCAATTTTCTGTTCAACAATTCAATTTGTTTCATGTCATCGGTTGTAATCCCTGAAGTGTAACGTCACTCATCCCACTTCCTTCCTGTGGTTCCCATTTCCACCCTTCACCATGACGGAAATGCAATGTTCCTGGTTAAGACACGGCGGAGCCGCTGAAAGAGTTCTGAGCATTCCTGTTACTAAGCCTACTTACTGGCTAGTCACCAGGGGTTTGAACAGTCGGCTGGTAGATAAGAAGAATGGGCATTTACTGAGCACTAGCGTGGGGAGTCCTGGTGTGGCGCTCTGGGCTAATGCGTCAGACTGCAAAGTTGTTTGAACTGCAAAGTCAGTGGTTCAAGCTCACCAGCTGCTCCTTGGAAACCCTATCCAGGGTCGCTATGGGTTGGAATTGACTCGACGGCACTTCATAACAACAATGCAAAGTGGGAAGACTGTGTTAGAGTGTAGAGTCCTGGTGTGATGCTATAGGGTAAGTACTAGACTGATAACCACAAGGTTGGCAGTTCAAACCTACCAGTCGTTCCTAGGAAACACTATACAGGGTTGCTATGAGTTAGAACCGACTCAACGGCACTTAACAATAACAACAGAATGCATCACATACCCCATTCCAACCACTTGATACATATCACTAATTGGGAAGGCCCTGAGTGCTGCAAATGGTCAGTGTGCTTCGCCTCTAACCGAAAGGTAGAAGACTCAATTTCATCCAGAATTGCCTCAGCAGAATGGCCTGGTGATATCCTGAAAAACCAGCTGTTGACAATCCTATGGAGCACACATGGGCGACCAGAAGTTGGAATCAACTTGCTATTTCTTTTACGACTGCTCTGATTTTACAGATGAAGATATCCAGAGAGGTTAGGTGACTTGTCCAAGGTCACAAGCCTGGTACCTTTGGGAACTGGACTGGTGTTCTCTGAGGGAGTGGAGGGTGTGAGGCCCCAGCATCCTTTCCCATTCTTCTTGGCTCCCTGGGCCCTCCTGGGTGTCATGGCAGTTGAAAGCAGCCTTGTCTACAAAAGTGGCAGCTCCCAGGGAGTATCCATGGCGACCTCAGCAATGGGAGTGGAGGGTGAAGGGAAGTGAATTAGTGAAGGGCAGACCTGAAAAGGCTTCCAAGACAAGCCAACCCATCTTGTTCACCTTACAAACGAAGAGGATCCTGGGAGGATCAGCAAGGGGAAGCATTTACTCCAGGTCACACAGCAAGTCAGTCGGGGAGCCAGGAGCAAACCAGATGCTTCTGGGTCTGGGGATGGGCGTGAACCCATGGGGTCCTCATTCATTTCATGGGTCTTCACCCTCTTCATGGAACCTCCTCTAGTTTGGAGAACATTGGTCAGCTTGCCTCTTTTGAAGGAAAAAAGGCCATTTAATGTCTCCCAAAGGATAGTGTCCTGGTGTGGTGCTGTAAGATCAGCACTGGACTCATCACAAGATGGGCAGTTCAAACCCACCAGTCGCTCCTCAGAAACCCGATTCAGAGTCACCAAGAGTTGAAACTGACTCAACGGCACGCCACAACAGCACCACCACAAAGGCTAGTGTCAGCATCTTGAGGGTGGGACCCATGTTCTACAACAGTCTTGCTTGCTGGACACACAGAAGTTGCTCAGGGAATTTACAGACAGGAATGAATTCATTGTTCTAACACAGAGAGGAGGCCCAGACTCTGACAACCACCTCAGCCCCAACTTTGTGGGCTGTCATTATTTTCCTAAAGCTTTTTTACCTAAAATAAACCTGGGGTACGTTGAGTAGCATCGGCCATCCCTTGCCTCATTGTTTCTTGGTCTCTGGCTTGGAGGCAGCCCCTGACCCTGGGAAAAGGAGTTTCAGATAAAGTCTGGATTCCCATGCCCACAACATAAAAGCCAATTTACAACAATGTGAAACTTCTCTAGTCTTTAAGATCTTATTATGCAAATAAAGGAGGGGAAGGTGGAAGACAAACTACGTATAAATTCCTGAGGGGTGGTCAGATGTCCAAGGAGCCCAATTCAGATTCCTTTGGGGGAAGATCCTGAAAACCCTCTGCTAACTCAAATCCTCCAAAGCTTGTAGACTTCGAGGGGAGACTGGGGGTGGGGGTGGGGTGGGGATGAGAAGGTGTCCTCGGCTCTAGGCCCAGCTGCATTTTCTATTAGGGACTCTCTACTCTGAGGTGATCAGCCCTGAATCCCAGACTGAGCCAGGTACCAAAGCTTGGGAATTGTGGACGTTCCATCATTGGAATGAGAGGAAATTGAGTGACTCATGATGGGAGGTTTGGGGAGACAGTTGGCTATGACATCTTGGGATATGTCTTTAGAACAAGAGGACAGAGCGTCCTCAGATGGGCCTCTCATACCACATTTTCAGTAGCATCTTTCTGTCTTTCTGTAAAAACAATCCCACTTTCTTGTTGTTGTGGTTGTTAGGTGCCGACGAGGCATCTCCAACTCACAGCAACCCTGTGTACAACAGAACCAAACACAAGCTGGTCCTGGCTGGAGCCCACTGCTGCTGCCACTGTGCCAATCCGTCTCGTTGGAGGTCTCCCCCTTTCTCGTGACCTTCCATGTTACCCAGCATGATGTCCTTCTCTAGGTTCTGGTCCCTCCTGATAACATGTTCTAAGTACAAGAGATGAAATCTGGCCATCCTGACTTCTAACGAACATTCTGGCTGTACTTCTTCCAACACAGATCTGTTTATTCTTCGGGCAGTCCATGGTACTTTTAATATTCTTTTCCAACACTATAACCCAAATGTATCAAGTTTTCTAGTCTTCCTTATTCATTGTCTAACTTGCACATGTATATAATGTGATTGAAAATGCCATGGCTTAGGTCAGGTACACTTTAGTCCTCAAACTGACATTTTGCTCTTCAACACTTTATAGACGTCTTGTGCCTAATGCAGTCTGCCTAATGCAATATTCATTTGATTTCTTGACTGCTGCTTCGAACAATCCTACTAGTCCTTCACAAAGTGTTACAGTCTAGAAATCACTTTCATCTTGGTTTCTCCCTGTCCTCTGGGCAGTTAACAGGTTAGGAGCTTCCCACTGTCCAGGGGCAGAGTCAGCCCTAGGTTGTCTTTGGGAGAACCAGAAAAAAGGCTCCCACGGAACACAGGCTAGAGCTGGTTCCATCTGTCCCCTGGGCAAGGTACAAGCAGTGCAGATAAGACCACTTGGCTCAGCTCCTCCACCTCTAAAAGATGTATGCCATCGTCCCCAGCCTCTTTCCTGGATTGGATGACTCAGGGATCTGTGGTTCTAGGAACTGACTTAGTGTTCAACCTATTCTCTGTGAAGACAGAGGGTGGGAGTGGCGGTGAAAGGAGAAGAAGTTTTGCGGAAGCCCTGCGCAGCGGTTTGGTACAAAGAGCCCTATTTTTTCTGGCGTAAAATGTTTAAATCTTAATTTCCACTTCTGAAAAATGCGAGTGGGCTGGACACCATTTGATGTGAACATACGGCCAGCATTGGCGCGGTGGTTAAAGAGCTCCGCTGCTAACCGTAAGGTGGGCCTTCCAACTCACCAGCTGCTTTTTTCAGACGGATGGAGTAGTCTGTGTCCCTAGAAATGTACAATCTTGAGAACCCTATGGGGCACTCTGTCCTGAGTCCGAATCTATTAACTCATGACTCGGAGCCGAATTGACAGCCACAAACACCAGCACTAACTACGGTGTCGAGCGGTGGGGATTAAACGTCATTTCCCAGGTGAAACTGCGTCGCGTTTGCAGGACAGCGGAGGGTTCGGTCCAGAAGCAGCTCACGAGTGATGTGGGGTTGCGGGGCTCCAGGACCCCAGGGGAGCACGAATCTCCGCTCTGTGGCCACTGCCGCTGCTGCCTCGTCCGTCCCAGATCGCCGAGGGTTAATGAAGAAGTCCCACGCCCCCTTTGACGGCGCAGAGCCCACCTCGCCGAATTTTGAAAAGGCGGCCCCGGAGAGGCGTGGGCGCCGCAGACACAGCCAGCTCGGACCCGGGCTCCGCTCGCTCGCTCGCTCCCTCGGTTTCGGGCTGGAGCCGCGGGTCCCCGCGGGCGGCCGCGCAAGATGAAGTTGGCTCTCCTGTTACCCTGGGCGTGCTGCTGCCTCTGCGGGTCGGCGCTGGCCACCGGCTTCCTCTATCCCTTTCCGGCCGCAGCTCTGCAGCAGCACGGCTACCCCGAGCCGGCCGCCGGCTCCCCTGGCAACAGCTACACCAGCCGCCGGTGAGTAGCGAGAAGCGCCGGGCCTGGCGCGCTGAAGGCAGGCGGTGGTTGGGGGCGCCGGGCGGTGGGGACGAGGAACGGCGGCGGCTGGGGGCGAAGGACAGCCGGGACCGAAGCCGGGAGCCGGTGGGGACGAGGGTCTCCGGCACGCTCACCCTCTCGTCTTGCTTTCCCACCCTTCTTCTCTTGGGTTGCGGGCTCAGTCCTGCAGTGAGAGGCGCGCGGAAGGGGGCGTCGGCGGCGAGCTGGGGTGGCCTTCTCAGCCCTGGTACATTCCTACACTCACGTGGCTTCGCCGCGCTCACCTGCTTCTCCGCGGCTTTGTGCTCTGGACTAGGTCTCGGGGGTCGCCAGTCGACCCTCCCTAGGCAGTTCCATCTAGTCTTCCGGGCCGGGGTCGCCGAAGAACGTCTGGGTTATTCTAGCTGCTGGCGATGACTCAGCTGCGGGGTCGCAGGGGCGCAATCGAGGGGGCCCGCGGTGCCTCGACCTTTCTCGGTCAGCAGGTGGCGCCCTGCCCACCTCCCGCACGGTCCGGGCTGCGACTCCTTACCCGCAGTCGGAATTCCCTTGGAAAACACTGAACGCGCAAGTTAAACTTTATTCTTTTACACTGTGGCGCTGTGGGTTAATGCGCCAGACTGCAAAGCCGTTTGAACTGCAAGGTTGACTGTTCAAGCTCACCACCTGATCCTCGGAAACCCGATATAGGGTCGCTATGGGTCGGAACTGACTCGACGGCACTCACTTAACAACAACAAAATCCTCATTTGATAATAATAATAACTCACACAGCTCCAATAGCCCTCGAGAATACGCAGCCCGCGTTTCTAACCTCCATCTCTTTCGATCCTTAAACCAACTCTGGGTTAGTTCTTTCCGGAGGAAACTGAGAAAATTGAGGCTCAGAAAAGAGGTCCTCAAGTTCAGTGGCAGCGTCAAGATTCATGGCTTGCCTCCTTTCTGCAAATCCTGTGCTTTCTACAGCACATCACTGTGGAGGGAACCAAGAGACCTGTCCCAGTTCTTTTTACTCTTTCATTGTTACCAGCCCCTAAAGGGCCACCAAGGGGAATTCGGGCAGTGCCTTAGAGGGAGGAGGCAGGGATATGTTGTATTGGGCTAAAACAAAAGCAACCACTGTGCATCAGATGAGTGGATAAGGCAGAAACTCAGAAAAACATAAAGGGTTTCTGGGAAATTTAGCGTGCAATTTTACGTCCCTTACTTTGGAAATCCTACCCGAGGCTTCTATTAGAATTATTCTCCAAACACCCACAATAATCTGATCTTTCCACACTTTCATATGAGAATCGTCTAAAACATAAAGCTTTTCAAGTTGCAGAATATCACGTATACTATGACCTCATTTATGAAAACAAGTCTTATCAACATCTAGGTATATAAAGAGGAAACCATTTTTAACAGTTGCTTCTTGTTGCGGTTGTTAAATGCCGTCGAGTTGGTTTGGATTCATAGCCTGTGTAGGGTTTCTGAGGAGCAGCTGGTGGATTTGAACTGTCGACCTTGTGGTTCGCAGCCCAGTGCTGATCCTGCAGTGCCAAGGGGCTTAAGCAGAGGAGTAAAAGAGGATTTCTGTGTTTTGCTCTGTTTGCATCTGTTACAAGGAGCATGGCTTCATGGACTACTTTTGCAACCAAAAAGCATGGGAATGAAAACAAAACAAAACAAAACAAAACAAAACAAAACAAAACAAAACGAAAAAGGCTTCTGCTGCCTGGACTGTGCATACTGAGAGAAGCTGTAGGGATGTCTCAGCTGGGTGAGTGGATGTTGTTATGGTTAAGTGCTGCCGAGTTGGTTCCAACCCATAACAACCCTGTATAGGGTTTCTGAGGAGTGGCTGGTGAGCTGGAACCACCGACCTTGAGGTTCAAACCAACTTTGCAGTCCAGTGCATTAATCCACAGAGCCACCCCAGGACTCTGGGTGAGTGAATTCTGGAATTCTGGTGCTGGTGAATTAGCATTGAGGAAATGGGAAAACTTCGTTCGAGCACAAACAAAAAAGAAGCCCAAACAGACGTGGTCATCTTCCAGAAGGCTTTTCACGAGAAGTAGAACTGAGAGGTATAATTAGGTTCAGAGACGATCCAGATGAATTTGTTGAAGATGGATTACTAAATCGAATACTCGGAGATGTTAGGAACGGTTGGAGCAACTTCCAGACCCTTGAGGTTGACCCTCCAGAGTGAGAAGACCTGCAGGGCCATTGCAGGTGCCTGGCTTGTGGTTGGGCGAGTCACAGGTTTGAGCTGGCCTAAGTGTCCTTGTTCTTATGTCTCATGTGCTGTTAGCCACAGGTGACCCTGGCTTTTGAAATGTAAGAGCCCCAGAAGTAGTGACTAGGCACTGCATTGATATGTTGCTCTTTGAAGCTTTGGTCTCTGGCTTGGCCCCCTCAGTCTGTTTACAGCAGTTACTGAGCGCAAGGACAGCGCGGATCAGAACAAGCAGTCTTCCTTTCTTTGGTTGTTATTGTTTCTTGCTGGAGTCTGATTTGGGGACCTGGGTTGTGGTCTCCTTCCTGTGTGTACACACGTGTCCAGGGTCTGTCAGGTGCCGGGGCATCTTGTCTTCCTCTGGGATACACTGCTCTAACTTGCCTCACATCAGAAACCCAGGGCGGATTCCTCTAGTCAAGTTATTTTGGCAAAAAGAAGAGGAACCAGGAGGGTTCTGTGTATGGACCACTAATGATTCTACCAGCCCTTGAATTGTTGAGATGCTAAATAAAAGCTGAAGGGAATCGCAGCTTCAATTGACTGAGGAGTATTGCTAAGGTCTGATCCTCCAAATTCTTTCATTCTACCCTGACAAGGAGAAGACATTTGTGAAACATTTTGGAGTATGTAAATCCATCCTTTACCTCACCTCTCCTTCTCTCCCTCCTCCCGCCACCCCCACCATCTCTGTATCTAGCCCTGCAGGGACCAAACAGCAGCTGAAAGCAGAAGACTATGAGTGTTGGATGGGAAGAGGTCCCGCACCCCATTCCCGCTGCCCATCTCCAACTGGAGGAGGGAGAAGCTTGCATTGGGATACAAGATAATGTTTTCCTATGAATTCTTGAAATGAGAGTGTTTCTCTGACTTAGAGAAACCAGAGATGCTGTGGGAGCTACCTGAGATTCTAGGCAGGGGTAGAATGGGCACTTCTACCTGGAAAGAAACCACTCATTCCATAAGCTCCTCTCTGCTACAAGAGAATCCGTGGACGCCCACATCCCCCAGCACTAAACGCTCATAGACTAAGTCAAGCAAAGACATGGTTCAGTAACTAGGTCTCTCCAGCAGCTCTGACAAATGGATCTTCCTTTGGAAGGTCAGTTCAGAAGAAGACTTCTTATTCTTAGACTCCTTGGGTTCTGCTCTAGAAAATGGCACCATGGAGTGAATCAGCCTACCCTCTTCTCCCTACCCGGCCTCCTCCCCACTCTTTAGGGGCTTCATAGACAATCTCAGGGGCTCCACACTGTCTACCTCTAAGATCAGTCCACCAACACCCCCCTCACAAATAGCCATGCTTTGACTGTTTGGGAGGTAAGCACACAGGCTGCAGGCTCTGCTTGGGAGGTTGACCTGGGAGAAGAGACCCTGGAAGTGGGCTCAGGGCCATTTGGGAGGAACGTGAGACTGGGAGGGAGGTCTAGAGGAGACAGTGGCATGGGGAGGCCCTTGGTCCTTATCAGAGGGTTAGACCCAGAGGAGGGGAAGAGCTCAGGGCAGGGCCACCTTGCCCCTTCAACTCTGCAACTTTGATGCTGTGATGACCGTGTAGCCATGGTGACCAGGGATGCTGGCTGTGAGGGTCCACAGGAAGGCATGTGTGTGTGGGCTCTGAGAGCTGAAACAGATGCTGAGAGGCAGGATTTGCAAACACTGAGCTGACCTCAGCCCTCCCATTGTCTCATCCTCTGACTCTTCCCGCTAGCCCCAGGAGAGTCCCGGCTGCTTAACTCAGTGCATCCCCCTGCTCCAACTGGTACAGACCCCTTAACAGAGCCCCTTCCTGCACTGTGGTACTGCCCTCTAGCCCAGCTAGTCCCTCCCTGGGGTCACCCACATGCTCAGGCTGCTCTCCCTCCAGGACACACCTTGAACTACGAAGAGCCTTCCTCACAATGACTGCTCCTCTGAGATCCTGCCCTGTGCTCCACTTGTGTGAGCCTGTCACCCTCACCTTGAGCCCAGTCTGTCAGGTGTCCAGGTGTGCAGTCCACCAGGGGTCCATGTCACCTCCCAGCAGCCTCTTCTCCCCACAGGAACCCCGCATCTCAACATCGCAAACCCAGACTCGCTCACTTGAATGGTTGACACTCATGTCTCCAATCTCTGCTGGGAGGTCAGGAGGACTTGGTTCATTTCAGCAAAGTTGTAGCTTGTTCACAATACAAGAGGGCTTGGCATTCTGACGTCCCTTCTCTCTGTCCAGGGCGTGGAGGTGCTGGCCATGGTCAGACCATCAGAAGTGTGAGCTCTCTGCCAGGCCCAGGCCCAGTGCTGCAGGTCTACCAACCTGGCTTCTGAAGTTGGATGGGACCCATTTGAATCTAGTTATTGCCTTCCTTCTCTGTACTGCTACCAGAAGCATCCTTCTCAATGGCAGCAGTGGCCGTGTCTCCCTTGATTAAAGCCTGTGTGGTCCCACCATCTTCTCCATCTAGATGGAAGAGAGGTTTCAACTCTTACGTCAGTTGTCATGGACTGGGAAGAGCAGCTCGGGCCAGCTTGTTGAGAAGGGACAACAGAGTGCTAGCATTGAGCTGGGAGGGATGGGAAATTGGAAGCAGGTGACCTTTGTGATCAACTGTCTTCCCTCTTCCACTGCATAAAAGATCGCCTTGGTAAAAATGTGCTGTCTGATTCTTGGAGATGTTCTCTCATTGCTCTGTGTCTTTGCAGTCGCTCTTTCTTTTGCCTGGTGTGGTTCCTCTACTGGGTTAGCCATCCTCCTACAAACACCTAGAAGACTTTGCTT